ACAAAGTGGTGCACTTTTAATCATAACACTAAATACATTTTAATTTTTAACAGAAATCTAAGATCTGACAAAATATCTGTTCCCTTTATTTTCTTGTTTACCGAAAAGATAGCAAATAGTAAATATACATAGAATTTATTTACTATTTATCTATTTATTATACGTAAAATATACATTTTACTAAGAAATGTTAAACACCGTTAATTTTTATTTGCAATGATTTTTATCTAGATAACCTCAAATGTTATCTAGATTTTTTATTATATACATAATATTTACTATACGTTGACATAAAATAAATATACGTAAAATCATTGCTGAGAGTAAATAAATATTTACTATACGTTGACATAAAATAAATATATATTTATTCAATTTTTTTATTTTATGAGAGTCAACGTATTGTAAATATACATAAAATAAAAATAAATATTATGTATATAATAAAAAATCTAGATAACATTTGAGGTTATCTAGATAAAAATCATTGCAAATAAAAATTAACGGTATTTAACATTTCTTAGTAAAATGTATATTTTACGTATAGTAACTAGATTAATAGTAAATAAATTTTATGTATATTTACTATTTGCTATCTAGATAAATCTGTCATCTTTATTTCTTTCGGTAAACAAGAAAATAAAGGAAACAGATATTTTGTCAGATCTTAGATTTCTGTCAAAAATTAAAATGTGTTTAGTGTTATGACTAAAAGTGCACAACTTTGTTAAACTAAATGGACTGTTAATGCTCCATGTGGAAGAATATGTATGACTTTGAGTCTAAAGCCCAAGATAATATATGTTTTTGGGCTTTTTCTCAGTGTTATGACTAAAAGTGCACCACTTTATTAAAGTAAATGTACTATTAATATTCCATGTGAAAGAATATGTATGACTTTGAGTTTAAAGTCAAAAATCATATATGATTTTGGCTTTTCCTCGGCAATCTTTGGTAGAGTAATTGGATGATAGGTTGCATTATTCCAGATGTTAGTCCAGTGATCTTCAATTTATGAGGCAATTGCTTGGTCTGGTTGCTACAAACAAAGGATTTTCAACAAATACTGTTATTCTCAATTTGCAGCTTTCAACCGCCAAAAAGTTCAATAGTTGACAATGATACTTTGCTTCCCTTTTTGGGTGTTTAAACATTTTGTTTTAGAAGACTTCTAATTCAAGAGAACTTCTACTAAGTGCCACACCCAAAATTCCGACCACGGGACCGTGAAGACACTTAATATCCGCTTGCTAGGCAAGACAACATTAGTTAAATAGTTAATCAATTTAATAATTTAAAAACAAAATATTAAAAGATTAAGACTGAAACACTTTGTAATATAATAATCTGAATCAACGTTATCTGGTCTAATTCTAGAAATTTGAGTCATAAATGCATGAGCTGTTAGAATACTATAAACAGGGTTTGAAATGGGCTGTGACAAGTTAGTATAAGTGGGCAGAGTGGTCTTGTTGTTATAATCTACTGAGATTCGGCCTTTTATCGCTTCGATTTATTTGAGAAAAAATTCTACTTCTAAGTGTGTGGCTGTTTTTTGAGAATGCTGGTAGTACTGAGCTTTAAAGACAATCCAACTTAACAAGACATTTCTTTTTCTCAAACCAAATTGTTTACTTTAAATGTGAAGTTAGTTTTTGAAAACCAAAGTAAAAATGTTTTCGGGAAAAAAAAACAAGGTTTTGTTTTTCACTTGGAACCAAAATAAAAATCTAATCATCTTTTCCGTAATATCTAAAACGCATCTTAATATAATCACTTTGACCTTCCATATTTTTCATTTAAACTTTTGCTACTTTAGCTATATTTTTCCCCTTTAGAATTTTCATTTTTTTTTGTCTTAAGTACTTTTAAATTGTGCTGTTTTAAAGTTAAACTTGTTAGTATTACTTTTCTCTATTTCTTTGTTATTTCTAAATTGCTCCACTATAATACATATTGGTTGATGTATATTTCTTTAGAGAATTGATAAAATATGTACTCCATCCGTTTCAACTTATGTGAACCTATTTCTTTTTTAGTCCGTGCCGAAAAGAATGATTGTTTTTCATATTTGGAAACAATTTACCTTTATGCGATAATTTATAGCCACACAAAATATATGTGCCTCATTTTATACAACAAGTTCAAAAGTCTCTCTTTTTTTCTTAAATTTCGTGCCCAGTCATATAGGTTCATATAAATTGAAATGGAGTGAATAGTACATAATGACAGATAAAACTTGATTTTGACACGAGTACGAATGTAGGGAGGATTTGCAGCCGTACCTATATTTGTGTCATCTTTTAACATGTACCCTATTTTTTAAAATTATTGATTTGGTAGCCATCTCACAAAAAATCCGTAATAATATGACAATTACACACCTGACAAAAGATATAAAATAATTTCCTCCTCTTCTCTCAGCAACTTTATAAAAAAAATCAGAAACTTGTCCAGATTCATCTTCAGAATCATACTTGCATGAAGTTGTTTCACCTTGACGCTAAAACTTCATGCTAATGTAGCATGAAGTTGTTTCATGCTAAAACTAAAACTTCATGCAAATATAGCATGACGTTGTTTCACATTGAAGCTAAAGCTTCATGCTAATGCATGCTGAAGTTATTTATCTTGCAGTCTACAGTTTTGTCATGAATTTTATCTGAAACTTCAGTGTAAACATGCTGGAGTTATTTAGTTCATTTGCTAAAACTTCAGACTAAACATGCTGAAGTTATTTAGTTCATTTGCTAAAACTTCAGACTAAACATGCTTAAGTTATTTAGTTCATTTGCTAAAACTTCAGACTAAATATGCTTACGTTTTTTAGTTCATTTGCTAAAACTTTACACTAAACATGCTTAAATTTTTGTCTTGTAGTATGTAACTTTCTAATTAGTTTTTGCTAATGCATGCTGAAGTTATTTAGTTCATTTGCTAAAACTTCATACAAAACATGCTGAAGTTATTTAGTTCATTTGCTAAAATTTCAGACTAAACATGCTTAAGTTTGTCTTGCAATATGTAATTTTCTAAAGAGTTTTTACTAATGCATGCTGAAGTTATTTAGTTCATTTGCTAAAATTTCATATCAAAACATGCTGAAGTTTTGTAACGCAGACTACAGTTTTGTCCTGAGTTTTATCCGAAACTTCAGTCTAAACAAGCTGAAGTTTTTTAGTTTATATGCTAAAACTTCAGCCTAAACATGCTTAAATTTTTGTCCTGCAGTTTGTCAATAATCTTTTATTAAAGAAAGGCAAAATCATTTTTTTAAAACACTTTTAACAAAAAAATGGGTACGAATGCAAACTAAAAAACAAAACGGATATAAGTTAAAAATGGGCGACCAAATCGGATGCCCCATACAATTTTTACGGAATGTAGATAGTACTCCTAGTTGTTTTGGTACACGTCCATCTAGTCCAGGATGCAGTACTTGGCAGTAATGAAATATATTTTATTCGCATTAGGCGTTTACATCAAACCAAATAGGAGGCAGCTCATTGCCTTCAAAGCATCCAATGACGGAGCCAAAAATTTCGTAAAAATAGCGCCGACTAATCAGTTTTCGAACTGGTAATTGAAAAATAGTCAGCGTTTGCAAAGTCATTGAAAAATAGCCACTATTTTACTGCAACACGAATCGGTCCAGCATAATATACTGGAGATTCGTGCTCCCGTGTATGAACTTCCAGCATATTATACTGTAACTTCAACACGCGAAAAGTTCCAGCATAATATACTGGAGATTGAAGCACCTGTGTATGAACTTCCAGCATATTGTGTTGGACCGGTATATTATACTGGAACTCCAGTGTATTATGCTGGAGTTCCAGTATATTATGCTGGAATTCCAGTATAATTTTTCAGATTTTGAACAGTGTTTTCGTTCAGATTTATTCTTACATGAAAAGTGGCTAAATTTCGATTACTTTTGAAACTGTGACTATTTTTCAATTACCACTTGTAAATCTGACTATTTTTAAATTTCTCCCAAAAGTTTCTATGAAAAGAAATCAAAAAATTGCAAGAACGTTACACGTATTTCACGCGTGCAACCTATAGCAATTTTTGAGTCATATTTGTTATTATAATTAAAGCATACCTTGTTTTGAAGGGATTCAACAATCTTTATATATGCAAAATATTTGTTATTACCCTAAAGATACCTAATGGATTAGCCGGGATACACGCAAACTGGTCTAAATTGTCACCGTTGCTAAAAAGAAAAGCCTTTCTAACTATGTTTTTAGAACAAATAGCAACTTAAAATACGAAATTTTGATTTTCTAGCAACAAAAAAACGATTCCATGATTATCCGGTTTTAAGTAGAGACCATTTCATATGAGAGAAAATAAATCCAGAATAGATCATTAGCAACCTGAAATTCCACAGAATCTCTTAATGTTACCATTTACAAGTGGACAATTTTCAGATATCACCATAATAATGTTGTTATTAAACAACCTGTAGTGTCATAATATAGACCATTACATTGTAGGACATTGTTAACTTACTGGAAAATAGTAGTTAAAAACTACACCACCAGATTACACACAGAAAAAGAGTTATCCAAAATCCAACATTCAAGAATCAATCTCCAAACAAGCAAAGTACTTGAGCACTGCAGGACAAAATATGTTAGTATTGCCTTCCAAATTCTGCGTTATCGACGATGACACCAAGTACTACGAGACTACAACAACTACAACATCAACAACCACCCAATATAATCGCACAAGTGGGGTCTGGGAAGGATAGTGTGTAAGCAGACCTTACCCCTAACTTGGGGTAGACAAGTTGTTTCCAATAGACCCTAAGCACAAAGTACTACGAGACTAATGAGGAAATGGAAAGAATATAAAAATGACGAGGAATAATACTTCATTCATGGGGTGTCAGTTTTACACAATTTACACGATGAAACTAAAAGAATCGAAAGGGCGTACGTTGGGAATATGAATTACGCAGACACGTTCATACTCGAGAAAGAATCTGTAGAGAAATTCTTTCTTTCATTCTCTTTGCTGCTCGAAAACTAAACAAGGCACCTGTGTTTCAAGTTAAACATAACATTGTACATAAAAAGAATAAATTAGTGCATCTTCTATCGTTTCTCTTTAATTCTATCTACTACAAAGATGCTCTCACAAGGAAGTTTTTGTGGATACAGCAGAGTATACAACAGAGTAAAAAGTTTTTAAGTGGTACCGAGTTCTATGGGAGTAGCACAGGGAGCCAAACTTTTTGCTGGAAAGTTCATACCACCTCCTCTGAGAGATAAAGTGGGCCCCCTCAGCGAGCTCGCCCTACTTACAAGATTTGAATCTAGAAACACAACTATGACTGAGATATCATCGTGAAAATGCCTCCTAACACCACGATCGATCTTCTTCAAATCAGAATATCTCATCTCCCTCTTCTTTGCTGCTTCATGCAACGCAGTTTTTACAAGCCTCCGAGCGCTTCCCTGAAGTTTTGAAAATTAGGAAACATGTCATTTCTTTAATAAGCAAAAGAGTAATACACAAAAATATTTATTATTATATAACTACACACCAAAAAAAATAATGAATTAATTTGGTCTATCCTTTTAGTGGATTTGCACGCCTAAAACACTGTGTTCCCCCCTTGCAACCATTTCCTTGTTTCCTAATAAAATGCAAGGGGAAATGTTGAAATCTCTCGCCACCTATGCTACCCTACCTTGAATATTATTATACTAGAGATGTATATCTCATGAGTATCTAAATACCATGTTTGTATAACATGAATAAAACGTCATTTAATAGCAAAGACCCTAGTAACGATCTATGTTTTTACCCCAAAGAGAAAATGGACAAAAGAATAGACCAAAAATGAGGTACTCGTCAAGAAGTGCTCATGCAACATATATTTTTTCCTTCATAGAGTACAATGTCTGATCTAGAAGTGTTACTTTGTTCTCTCTAAATGTGGACAGTCCTGAAACTACTTGAGATCTCAAGACGAGCTTGCTAATAAGTGAGTAGCAGGAGCCATATCAATTATATCAGTGTGATAAGGCAATACAGTAGCACCCAAGAGTGTGGCCAAGTGGTCAATGAAGTGAGTGAGAACCATGAGGTCTCGGGTTCAAATTCCAAAGGCAAAAGCACTAGGTGATTTCTTCCCATCTGTCCAAGCCTTGGTGGACAGAGTTACCTGGTACGTGTTGTTAGTGGGAGATGGCACGTACCTCATGGAATTAGTCGAGGTATGTGCAAGCTGGCCCTGACACTACGGTTATAAACCCGGTCACCATGGTTATTTTTTTTTTAAAAAAGGCAATACAGTAGTCGATGCATTATGAGCAAGTATCACCAAGGGAAAAAAAAAAAGAGTAAATCATAACTTGCTCGAATGGCACATGAAAACATGATCCGGAAAGACAAAGAAACAGGATATGTTTAGCCCAACATTTCATTTACACGATATTTAAAAAGTGCACCACCTAAAGCCAGCAACACAATTCTATCAGAGTTGATTTGCAGTTGAAGACTTTATACATGCAAAAGAAATATAAAAGAGAAAGGGAAAAATTAAAAGTCTCCTATAGTCAAAGATCTTACGCTTCGGGGGTTATTTTGTACTATATCAACTGCCTCTTGATTGCTAAGATGTTCCCAAAGACCATCAGAAGCTAATATGAGAAATTGATCATGCGGTTCGAGTTCTTGAACTGTAATTGATGGATCAGCGCTCAGTATGGGCCTTTTAAAAGGTTCCTTTAACCGAAACTTTGCATACAAAGGCTCCCTGTTGTATTCAGCCTTTTTAAGGTATATATCACCAATAGATCTCGAAATCTGCAAGATGAATTTAAAAATTTGTGTGCATATAAATAGCTTAGTGCAAAAAATAAGCAAATTCATTTCAATGATGTTCGGAATCCATGTAAAGAATAGAAAGCAGGATCAAGGATGACATCCATATCTGTCACATTTAATAACCAGAACAAAGAAACATCGCCATCAATGGATTGAAATAAAGGATCTCATGCACATAGTGCAACTACAATGAAATCCAAACCCCCAGGAAGAAACAAAGGACGGGATTTCCTTTGACCTTTCTGATCTTTAGCACCATTACTTCAAATAAATGTAGTTTCACGCACAACACATAGCTGCTTGAAGTTGAAACATGCACCGATGCTTGGGCCATTAATTAAGTGGTGGAGTGCCTGTTGTTCTTATCTCACGATAAAATCTGTCTTTTCCTGCATCATCTATGGCTATTTGGTCTGTCTTGATCTGACCTTTTTTTGGATAAGTCTGTCCCGGTCTTATATTTCCTTATTGGGAATGTTGTAATAGCATATCAGGAGATCAGGTTAGCCGTCTTCTTTTCCACTTCCAACAGAGAACATAGGTTTAGCCGGTCCCATCATTTGCATAATTCACCAATTGATCACGCGAGCACACATCCAGTCAGCATAGCAAATGAGAAAAGTGATTATTAATAATCTTCTGGTTAAGCTGTCACTTCATCTTTTGGTGGTTTAATTAGAATTTTTTTTCATTGTCATGGATTAATGTGGACTATACGGAGTCTGATTGTACTTAAATGAAACTTTGAAAGAAAGAAAAAATGGTTGTTTGCTTCTCTGGAAATTGCAGATAAATACAGGACAATAACTGGCGGCGAGCAGCAGATCAACTAATAACTTGAGTCGTTGCAAACCACCATCATCCATTAATAAAGCAAACCAATAGAGAAGGGAAAAGGAAGTTTAGAATATCAAAATATCAGCCAATATAGGGATTGAAGGGAAGACTTTAATCTCTTTTGGGTTCAAGGAATCTAAAACGTCTATCCTAGTCAAAAGCCAGCCTAGAGTAGGAGACACGGCTCATAAATAATTGTCCTTGTATTCATTGCTAAGACTAGAAGATAGAAGATAGATGACACACAAGCAACTGCATACAAATGATCAATGAGTAACACACCTTTTAACTGTTCAACTATAAAATGCTTTGAACTCTCTACATGGTATTAACCATATGTCTACCTCTGAAATAATAACAAGAATAAATCATATAAGCTACACTATCCATAAATCATGAAAACAAAACATATGCTGCTCGGACTCTCCGAAAATGTCGCCGGGTGTGTGTTGATCCTCCAAAAGTAGTGTATTTTTGGAGGATGCAACACGGGTGCGGCAGCATTCTGGAGAGTCCGTGCAACATAGACTAAACAATTGCTCACGTTATGAGAGATATACCTGAATCAGACCCTTGACACGCCATACGTTATGCTTCAAAACCACTATCTGTGAGTCATCTGGATGCATTGAATGCAACTCTTGTCTGACAGATTCAATACTCGCGTTATGCTCAGCTGAAAGCTGGATCGCAAGAACCTCCCCCGTAGCCTTCACAAGCCTTCCTAAAACAGCTCGGGAATCACCTACATTAGCAACATAAAGGGTGCCATTGCAGATCACAGCAACAAGACAGCAAGACCCAACAGCAGCTATCTGCGGCTTCGTTGGCCATTGCTTTGCAACCAGAGAAAAGAATCCCTCTTCTGTTGCTTGAAATGCTTTTCGTATTACATCCACAGACATACAATTTTGTTCAGCTGCAAACCCTGCAATATAAAAGTTGCGGACTAATTAATTCAAATGGCAAATAAGTTAATATGCTAGATATTTTAAAGGACTTTATTCATTTTTGTCGGTCGAAATTAATTACGGGCGCTAGCCCAAATATACAAAACATATACACTGATTATGTATATAACATATGTAAGTACTCCCTCCGTTTCAATTTAGATAAGGTAGTTTGACTTGCACAAAGTTTAAGAAAGAAAAGAAGACTTTTGAAACATGTGGTCCTAAAACTTAAGGAGTAAAAGCTTTGTGGGACCATAATATTTGTGTGCCTATAAAAGCTTATCATTAAGGGTAATAGGTAAAATGAAAAGTAAGTTAAATTGTTTCTAAACATAGAAATATGTCATTATTTTTGGAACGGACTAATAAGGAAAGTGTATCATTTAAATTGAAATCGGAGGGAGTATATTATATGTATATTCATACTTAATATACAAAAATATATACATTTGCCGGCTATTATTTTTTAGGGCGGCCCAAAAATATAATTATACCTATTTTAAATTCAAAAAAATACCCTGGCATTTTCCTTATTAAAAGATATACTGCATAGCATTTAACTAGCTTACCAACACCATTCCGAACTACATTGGATTGATGCAATGCAATAGACAAATGTGTACTTTGGTCAATAAAAAAGGTCTAGTTTGCTTACTCTTGAGATGCTGAAAGAGGTGATCATTTATATACCGTGATGTTTCAGGTCCACCATGACCATCATATATCCCAGCAAATGTACCGTACGGGCCCGAATCAAGCAAGCTCAGAGAGCCCGACTCGATCTGGCTTTGATCCTCCAGCAAATTATTGGCCTGTACTACTGCCATTGAGAACTCGCCAATCAAGTGTTGACCACTGTCCTTATACCAAAAAAGTCCATCTTGCCGTCCAGCTGCATCCGAACCAGCATATACAGAACGGTCTGATGATGGCCGCCAACAGGCCCTCAGGAAATTTATCAGTCTTGATAACATCCCTCATTTCATTTCACCTCTGCTCTACCTCCAATTCTTCAACAGCCAGAATATGGATACAAGAGCAGTCTAACTAAACTCTAATTTGGTTATTACTCTCTTATCCTGCAAACAGGAAACAAGCAAATATAACAAGAAGTTCAGCTATACAACCACTTCAAGAAACACAGAATTGGGAAAAGATCATACCTTTACAGCAACAACAGATCCACTGTATTCCCAACAGGTGGGGTCTGTTAGGGTAGAGTGTATGCAGACCTTACCCCTTACCCCTACCTAGTGAAGGTAGAGAAAAGATCATAGCTTTAACAAAAAGAAATAAATCTACTTAGTAAAACAGAGAGTTCCAAAGTTCAATTTCAACACCAAAGAAGAATAACCAATGAAGTAGGTTAAGAACTATGAGGTCTCAGGTTCAAATCCAATACTAGGTGATTTCTTCGCATATGTCTGGGCCTTCGTAGATAGTCACCCAGTACCCGTGCTGGTGGGAGGCAGCAAATACCCTTTGGAATTATTCGAGAGTATGCCCAACCGACACGAACACATCCCGACAAGTCGAAATACCCTATATTGGACTTATCCAAAGGCTCAAAACACGAAGCGAAATGCAACAACTAAAAATGAAGACTCAAGTGAAACTTAAGGATCCTAATGTTCCAATTATCATGCAACGGTGCCGCCGAAATGCTCCCGAGCCCCTCGGGTCCTAAACCGAACAGAAGCACGAGTCTAAATACATCATATACACTTATTGGAAGCTTCAAATCATGAATCAAAGCGCGAATACTTAAATCGAGAGTTAAGGTTGCTAGTTTATCAAAAAAATCATGACCAACATCCTAGCAATTTCCAAGATATGAAGACTACATCAGCAATCACAAGAAGCAAATTGGGGTAAAATTACACACTACAGTCTACAATGAAAACCAGTCAATCCTATACTCACATACCCCCCAAATGAACAAAACAACAGTAATTCATAATATAGAAAGCACACAAATCAAATAATGTTTACAGCTTAGAGAGAATTACCTTCTTGAAAAATAATATAAAGATAAGATTTTGATGCAATTAGGCCTTTATTATGCTATCTTTTTTCTGGTCAGTTACTGAATCTTTTCAACTGATAATGACTGAGATCTGAAAAAAGACATAACAATCCATGTGGGTCTGAAAGTGTTAGATCTATAGATCCATCAAAGCAGCCCCCCTTAACTATACACAGTAAAGATTGAGTCTTTTTTCCAGTTCTTGTTTCCTTTCTCTCTCTCTTTTCGCTTGTATTACTTGTAAAAAGGAAAGGGGAAAAAGAAAATTGAGAAATTAAAGAGGAAAGAAAGAAGAAAAAGATAAGTATAATAAAGAAAAAGCGGGTGTTGGGTGGGGGAAAGGTTTTACTTTATCTGTGTGTGATTAAACTAACTGAAGAGAACAACACACACTCACTAGTGTTTAGCAGTAGACAAACAAAACCCTTTCAGGAAAAACCCAACAAAATTAGATGGCAAATAGACAGCAATGCTAAAGGAATGGCATATAAGTCAAATATAGGCAAAATATTTTTAAAAAAAAATTACTCTTTGTGAAAGATGTTATAAAATAAAGGCCGTAAAGTAAAGACAAGTATAGAGAAAAACTGATATATTATTCTCACTTCAAACTTATGTACATAATGAACTGAATTCTTCTCTATTTATAGAAGAAAAGAAGCTGTTGTGTAAGCTGTTACTGCAAGCTGCTGTGTAAGTTGCTACTGCAAGCTGCTTGTAAGCTGCTGTGTAAGCTGCTTGTAAGCTGTTGTGTAAGCTGTTACTGCAAGCTGCTGTGTAAGTTGCTACTGCAAGCTGCTTGTAAGCTGCTGTGTAAGCTGCTTGTAAGCTGTTGTGTAAGCTGCTTGTAAGTTGCTGCTCTAAACTGTTGTGCCATATAGATAATCTTCTATCATAGGTAATATTTATCCATAACGGAGTACCGAAAGGATAAGCTTCTTCAGGAGGCTTATTTCCAATAGAGTACTAAATAGATAAATGTATTTATGGCGGAGTCTCATATGGATAAACTTCTTCAGGAAGCTTATTTACAACGGAGTATTAAATGAACATCCATAATATAATATATTCATAACACTTCCCCTTGGATGTTCATTAAAAGATAATGTACCTCGTTAAAACCTTACTAGGAAAAATTCAGTGGGAAAAAATCCTAGTGAAGGAAAAAGAGTACACATATTTAGTAATACGCATTGCTAACTGCCTCATTAAAAACCTTATAAGGAAAATCCTGTGGGAAAAAAACCTTAATAAGGAAAAAAGAGTACATCGCGTATTTTACTCCCCCTGATGAAAACCTTGTTTCAAATATTTAAGTCTCCGCATTCCAATCTTGTATACCATATTCTCAAAAGTTGAAGTTGGTAAAGATTTGGTGAATAAATCTGCCGGATTGTCACTTGAACGGATTTGTTGCACATC